TTACTATTTTCAATAATAATTTTATACTTTTATTTTAAATTAAGGTTCTTTAATTACTATTTATTTAGTAATAACTATTTTAATACTTTTTAATTTATAAATATATAATTATTTATATTTAAATATATTTCTATATATTTAAAAAATATTTTATATATTAGATATTTATTTAAGTAAATACATAATATATAAAATAAACACGTATATATATATATGCAATATATGTGTTAAGAATAATATTTAAGTTATTTTTTTAATATTTGAATGGTTTTTGTAACAATATATTTTTAATACATTTATTTTTTAATTTTTTTAGTTACTTATTTTAGTCACCAAGTTTTAGCATGTATTTTTTTATTCAACTACTTTATTTTAAAATCCACATATAAAAATCAAAATTCACACATTGGTTTAACATGCAATTGTGAATTTATAAATTAAATTAGATCAAATTAATTTAAGTATTTAGAATATTTATTATTGATTATTTGAATAATAGTACACATCTGAAATAAAAAATTAGAAATAAAAATAAAAATGATTAATCAATTTTACAAAAAATTATTATTGAAGTCTTATATATATATATATATATATATATATATATATATATATAAATGTATATTTATACATACTTAGATATACACATGTCAAATAAGGCTCAAGCTATAAGCACATCTAAGTTATTGTACATGTGTTTAAAAAACATGTAAAGATTTAATTAGCTGCTTATTTTGTTGAAATTGACATTTGCCATTTATTATGGAGATTCTATTGTCATTCTTTGTAGTAGTACCATTGGAAGATCAATGGCCAAAATAAAGAAGCAATGCTCCTACTCGAGTTTTATTTTAATTTTGTCTCCATAATTCTACCAAGACTCTTAGTTTAGAAGTAAGTCCTTCTTTTCTAACATTCTAGTTCTACACTTCATTTTTTTTTTTTTTTTTTTTTTTTTTTTTTGTTTTTTTGTAGCATGAGTTTATTAAACACCCTTGTTGTCATACGACCTATTGGCTAATATACATCCAACTACATAGAGCTTTTTTAATCCAATGTCTATTATCGTTCTACCATTCCTATAAAAATTATGTGGAGTTGTTCTTGTAAAACATATGGAATGATGAAGACGGCACAGTTTGCTCACCTTCTACAAATTATTTTTTATGAATGCATGCAATTTGTGTACTCATACTTGGGGTGGTGTCTTGATATTGACTATATGAAAATTATATTTGCCATGATAAGGATGATAATCTTAATGCTTTAGTAGAAGAGAATCTTAGCTAATGAGATTGATTGAGTTCTTTCCATGATATGTTATTATAAGCTATAACTGTTAGAATTGATAAAGATGCTTCAAAGCCTTGTCAAATAAAAGACATGTATGTATCTACCAATATAAGAGTTTAAAGATTCCCTAGTATTGTCTCAAAATTATTAGTGGGTAGCTAGAATTATAAATGAAAATTTCATATGAAAAAGCATTGAGCATTTGGCATGGAATAGAAGAAAGAGAAAGGAAGGGAATAAGAAATTTTACCAAAATATCGGCAACTAGGTACTATAAGGATTAAATGTGCACTTGGTTGTTTGTTTTATAATAATAATAAAAAAAAAAACTATTTAAATTCAAAAAATCTAGTTAGAGCAACTATAAATATCACATTGAGGCTTAAGTGGTGTTGTGAGGTAATATGACTATATGGTGAAATTAAAAATATGAATGTTATTACAAAAGAGCCTAATAGAAAGATGTAGTAGAAAAATAACAATAAATTATAGAAAGGTAGCAAAAAGTTTAGTCTTAATATTGCCTTTTATAGAAGGAACTTGTATTTATCTTATTGAAGCATAAATGAGCTAAATCAAAGTAAATAAGATAAGAAATTAATATAGACATGTTTAAGAAAGAGTTAACAATAGATTAAAGCAGAAATTATCTCAAAATATCAAAAATTGATATCCAAAGAAGACCGGTTGTCAACTTAAATCAAAATCACACCCTATGGCACAAAACTACATACCTATGGCGATTCTTGAGTTCGTTTGCAAATTGAAGAAAGAGATTTGAGAGCAAACTTAAGGAGAGATTTTTTAGTATTAATTTTATGTCATTTGGATTAATATTGAAGTTTTGGATGATTTTCAAAGTTAGAGATGTACTCAATGGGTTTGGATTTTGAAAAAGAATAATAAGTTAGTAAATTTCAAGATTTTGTGAGTTTTATAGCATGTTTATGGATAAAAATTGAAAATTATGTTTTTGTACTTGTTGTGAAAGTGTGAGGAATTTGAAATCAATTGAGTTGTTAAATTGAAGTGTATGAGGATATTTGAAGGTTATGGTCTTAGAAATTGGAGTTTAGAGAATCAATGAGGATTTCTAAGATATTTATTAATCAACCAAATGGATTGATATACAATTTTGCTCAAAGATAGCTACTTTGATTTTAAACAATTATAAAAAATTTGAAACAAATTGAATGGTGAAATTAAGAAATTATGGCTCAAGAATATCAACAACAAGGTTGAAGAAGGAGGTCAATCAATCCCTGAACAGAGTTTTGCAATTATTGTCTATTTGGTGTAGGCAAACTTTTTCAAATTTTTTGTGCTTGTTGCTAACTTAGTTGTTGCAAGGTATGAAAATTTTGAGTCAAAATTAATAGTTTAATCATTAATTATTGAGTTTTTAATTTATTTTAGGATTTGTTAAGAGTTTGTTTAAGATTTTTGATTTTATTAAAGATTGGTTAGGGTTGGTTTAGGATCTAAGATTTGATTAGGATTTTACTAAGCTTTTATTAGAATTAGTGTGGGATTTAAGATTTCATTAGGATTTCATTGGATTTGATCTAAGATTTGGTTAAGATTCATTAAGCTTTTAATTAGAGCTTGACCTAAGATTTGATTACGATTTATTAAAATATCAATTAGGATTATATTAAAATTTGATTAGAATTTATTTAATATTTTTATTTTTAGTAATTTTAAAGGATTCTTTATTATTTCTTTAAATATTTTTATTTCTAATATTTCTTTAAGATTTCTTTGTTGTTGTTTTTTTTAGATTAATTTATGACTTATTTATGTTTTTTTTTTAATTAAAATTTATTTTGGATTGATTAAAGTTTGATTAGAATTATTAATAATTACTTAAAATTTATATAAGAATCTATTAGATTTGATAGGATTGTTGTTGCATTTTTACTTACCTTCATTAGCTAGGTGCTTTTTGCATTCTCAAACAAGAACACTTGTAATACAACAATGGTAATTGCCAAAGTTTCCCAAGAGTTCATGAGTGAATGCAAGACTCAACAATTCATAAAAATACATTTACAACAAGCTAGCTTAGAAGAGTGAAAATAAGAAGTTGGAACTAAAAATTATGCAATGTGAAACCTTAGGAAACTAAGGAGTTAGGAAGAAAGTTATAAACTCGCTCAAGAACAAAAAGTTGCAGTAGGACTAGGGAGACAAAGTTAAAATCAAACCTGAATAGGGATGTTGCTCTTTCACCCTACAAGTTGATCTACCTACAATACCATTGCAAGGGATGATGGTGGGATCTCCACAATAATGATAGGTATCAATCTCTACCAAAACAAGTAATCAATTAGAAATCTTAATTTTTTTTTGGGTTAGTGAATAACAATTTGGAGTGTGCTTATAACCTAAGCCATGAAACAAACAAATAGACATACATACCTACATACTCGTAAGTGTACAATAAATAACATTAAAAAGAAAAAGAAATGTTTGTAAGCAACTTTATACTTTTTCGAGGTAGGTACAGAAGCCCCAAGATTACTAAGGATAGGGGCTCTCGAAGATGCCGCGGCGTTTCTTAGGATTTGGCAGAGTTCGACTTTTGGTCGGAACCTCATGCTGCTAATCCATGGTGGGCACGGAAATTAGGGCGCTGATCGAGTGCGGTAGCCCAATCCCTGAGAATGCTTGCGAATCCCCGATCGATCATGTGGCGTGGCCTCCTTCGGCGTGCTTGAGACAAGCCAGAAGATCCTCCAGTCACTGGAGAACTCCAATCGAAATAACTCTTCAATACTTGTGCGTTACCGATTTCTGGAGGCTTGACCGGCCGAGACTTGAGCTTCTATGATTTCTGACTGGCGTTGTTGATCTCTTTGCTTATGTTTTAACTTGGTTTCTATAGTTTCTTCATTCATCCCATTCTAGGACATGGAGGATTTGACCACCACAATCCACGAAGTCCGATCATATACTATGCTGGAGGTTTGTAGAGCTTTCTCAGAAATTATGAATTCAAGTTTGACCCCATAATCCTTGACGTCACGTCAATTTGGAGGTCGTACGTTCATTGACCAGATTATAGATTTAGGTTTGAAATCGTAAGTCACTTTGATACTAGTACATATGTACACATATTCTACTTAATATCGTGATCTTAGTATTATGGTTCTTACGTGTTGGTGCGGTAAGCGAAATGGTTTAGAGTTGGAATTCATATGATACTTCAAAATTCATCTACATTGCAAGAATTGATATTAGAATCAAAGCAATACAGAAAGAAAGCAAGTAGGAACAAAGTAAGAAAATCCATTTGTTTCTTTTCTGTTTTGATTTTTTCATTGAGCTTATTGCCACATGTATGGGCAAGATGCATCATGGTGGGTGTGGGCAGTGAAGGAAGAAGTTTCTCTGTGATTATCACATCTTTAGACTTTCCGCACGCTTCAAGTGAGTGTAGTATGACCTGCCTTTGGTGACTCAGAGACTGTGAATAGAAAGATAACAGCGAGGGATTTTGTGGCTGACGAGGTATCTCCGTCCCCCACAATTTTTGTATTGCATTTTACCTGTGATCTCAGCATTGGCCACAAGGTCGCAGTGCCAATAAAACAGTATGCGTTGAATTCAAGTGATCGTTGTTCACATTAGATGTGGATTCCACGCACAGCCTGCGCGGGTTGCACCGAATGCCAAATCGTTGCTCAACAGATGCGATAGACATGAAACTCTAAAAGAAGTCGTAATACGATAGTCAAACTTGAAATAAATGGTAACAATTTCCTGCTCACTACCTCATATACATGGAGTAGAGCAGATGGAACTTTCTGGAGCATACAGTGGTCTTCCGAATTTATGGGCCCAAGCTGGAGCTCTTTTTAAACAGACGATATGAAAGAAATCTATGCTACAAAGGACAGATAGAGGATGCTTTCAATGTTTCGTCCTCACCATAACTTCTGATGCGCAAAACTGAATGCTCTCCGTCTCAGGTTTTTTCTACTTTCTTTTTTCTTTATATGAATTGACACATCAAACTTGTTGCTGGGAGCCTGTTCAATTGATGTGTATGTTACTAATCAATGTTACAAGCACTTTGGACAGAGTGTGCGAAGACGGCAGGTTTAGTAGTCTGAACGCCTTAGTCGCTGTCGCTGCCGTAACTGCATCCTGTGACATCATCGCCACCATACTGGTTCAGTAGCTGGTTTCCTTCGATGCCTCCAAATTCTTCACCACCATCATCATCCTGAAACGTTCATATACCAGCGCCATGAGTTACAACCTCACGATTGTTTCAAGTTCAAACAGATAAATCACATTAGAATTTATTTACCATCTAGAGGTGTTAAATTGACAGCCTGACTAAGCATTGGTGCAGACAAAAACTGAAAGCCTAATCTTCAGACCGGAGACATCGATGACCACATCACATCGCCACGCTTTGAAAGCATCTCGGTATGTAGAACTTCACTAGTGAAGCTGCAAGATGAGACATTTGTGACGGGAAAAAAGAAAAAAGAGAAAAAAGAAAAGCAACACTTACTCTGTCCTCCCATGCCTCTTGTCTGGCATTCTTTGCCAAGTACTCTTCCATTGTCCATGCCTCCACATCCCGTTGCTGCACCATCAAGAGCACGAAAAGTCAGTTGGTCCCCGACTAACGAAGGAGATCTGTTTCGAACAGTAGCATCTCATTCAGGGCCGAAATAGTTGGTTAAGTCATACTTACATTAGATTCAACTGTTGCAAAGTGAATATCTTTTCTCACTGCTGGTCGGGGAGCTGCTCTCATTTGGGATAGTGCAATATCTCCAGCGGCAGGGCTGATGCAGGTTTCAAACATGTTCACTCTTGGTAGCACCACTGCATCAGAGAAGTAAGACCGTATCAGTGACATGCACTAGTCAAGTTAGACCCTTATTCAAAGGCATATAAAGTCACAAAAGAATGAACAACTGCAGCGGGTGAACACACGCATGTCTAAACCTTCACATACTGCCCCCGTGTGTTTAGATATTCTGGATAAAGAAAAACGGTTGTGTTTTGTTGTGTGAAGTTGAGTACGCAAGGAATACCAAGACATGATCTGAATTTCATTCATGTAAAAAAAACACAGAAACCACCTACATTTTGCCTCTCGAGAATCTGCATGTCCGACCTTTGCTGGATGTCGAGGGGAGTGAACCTGCACAAGACACACGTTGAAGGATAGTTTTTCTTGTGTAAACTTCGAATTGTAGAATTGAAGCATTACTGTTCTCATGTTGTAAACTTCGACAAAACTAAATACATTAACACAAGCTTAGAAATGACAATCCTTTCAACACGTTTTAATGCAAGATAGAGAAACCATCAGCACTACAACCCTAAGATAATTCGAGAATGCAATAAACATCCGATGCTACATATCCCAAATGGCTAGGACTGCTTGCTATTCGCTGCTAAAACCATATCCTTGTAAGGAAGTTTCAGAGGTTGAGAAAAGTCACTAACCCCTCCATGAATATGAAACAACTTTTGTACTGTCCCCACGTTAATCAGTTGGATCCGTGCAGATACACCCACCACGCACATGCATTAGAACACTCCAAGGGCAACTTGAAAGCAATATAAGAATGTAATTTATTCTGACTACAGTGCCTATTCATACACGTCTGATTGCGTTCAACGCCAAAACTTGATTCACATGGACTCAAAACCTAAAATCATATTCGAACGATATCAAATTCGTGAGACAGGTTTCGAAGGTTCGGTATCTTACTTCCTTTGCGCACACCATGATCCTTGTGAGTTTTCAGCGCTGATTCAGGTACAGGGTCCGCTAACTCGAGAAGCTGCAAAGGGACATGTGTGACACATGGTCTAAGAGCACGCTTGTATAAACGTTCATATAGGATTCAGATAAAAGTTTCAGACCGTGAGCAGAAGTAGATCAATACCTCGCGCTTCTTGTTTTCGACATCTTTCTTGGCTATTTCAGCTAGCCTTTTGGCTTCTGCTTTTGCCTCCTTTTCCAACTTAATTTCTACCTTTGCTTGTTCATGTGCAAAAAGCAATGGCTCCTCACATGGCTTCGGGGATTTCTGCCACATATATATGCAAAGAGGTGCTTAACATTAATATTGCTCCCGAAATTCCAATTGTTCCACGTTAGTCCTCGTGAGCTGCTTGCAGTAAATTCACATACAGGCTCTAGGAGGAAGCAGGATATCAGCCTTCTGATGAGTGCAGAAAGCCACGCACTCAAAACAGCATTGTCCAAGCCGAGTGATCACAGTTGAAATAAAAGAAAACAAATTGACCAACTCGAAAATAGACTACGATTCTAAATCAACTCGTTTTTCTCAATATAAAGTAGGCTCAGCATTTTATACTCTGCCCTCAATCCTGCAGCCACACAGGATAGACAGTCACAGCAAAGATGTACTTACGCCTTCTTGCACGACAGGTTTGTTCTTCTTGAGCATGAGTAAGTTTAAAGTTTTATTGTAAGCCCTAGTTGCAGAGCTCCCTCTCTCCTCGTCCTTTACATTTAGTTTATCCCCTGCATTTCCATGAAAGCTAGGGCTCTGTGTGTCCGAGGGTTCGCTAAACGTGCTCCGCGTAGAACTAGTCCTCTCTTGTAAGCTCGCAAGATTCCGGGATGAATCAGAAACTGCTTCGACTACCTCGATATCAATCGAAAGCAAGTCCAGGACATGCCCAGGTTGACGATCCAAGGGCGTGACAAACTCATCGTTGCCCAAACATTTCCCACTAGGCTGATGGGTTAGATTCACCGACTCTGCAAATGGTTTTACGAGTTCCCTTAGTACCTCTTGATTGATATAACCTTCAGCTTCTCGCGCCAGTGCTACTTCTACCTTAGGGGAATCTAAGTCAATCAAATCAACTTCAACCCAGTTCTTAGTCGCTGAATCATTAGGGCTTACATTGCGAGTTACTATTGGAGGGGGACGTGCTATTGTATGCACGGCCTCGCTGGGACTAGCTATCCCCTGCATTTTTCCAAGATTTCCCACTCGACCTTCATAGATCTTAGGACTACTATCGCCGTGCTTGAGTTGATCACAGACAGTCTGCTCATGCTCATTTCTGTCCGCTCTGGAAAGCTCATTGTCTTCCTCCGTTGCATCCAGTACAGTCGAATGAAACTCCATTTGCAACATTGTGCTCAATTCTTTCCTTCTTCACAAAATTCTTGTACAGACTTCAACAGCACCCTGATTCGCCAATAGTAGACCACCTTCGAAACCGATCCACAAACCTCCGAGCCACTGCTTGTAGTTCCTAAACAGTTCCTACAGTCGATTAAAACAGAGTTATTAATATTCAGTCTCATTAAGATATCCTGGCATGGAACCACTATTGCCATACAACCCCCCAAACCTCTTCTACGAGGTAATTTTCAAAAAAAAAAAAACAAAAAACAAAAAAACAAAAAAAACACTCCATCTTCTGGTGTCTAGATAGCGGACAGGCAAAGAGCAGCCATTGAAGATGATTGAATTGAACCACCTCGTTACAACATTCTCGATAACTCTTGCGAACAGATCCCGACAGTGCAAAGATATCCAGTTTGATAGCATCGAGCAGCCCTCAGATCGTAATATCAGACTAAGTTCAAAAGAAAACAAAAGCCCATCCGCACAAAGATCATCTCATTTTGGGACACTCAAATCCCCAATAAATCTTTCTATGCACGTGTACACCAATTTGCCCTAGAATCTGTATCGGCAGAAATTTTGACGAAGTTTACGAATTATGATGAAATTGCCAATGTTTATGTAAGTAGATTCAACAGTGTAGTGAGTGCACGTGAATCAAATTAGTCAGACCGCTGCTGAGACAACCACTGTAACTGATTCTAGTGATTTTGGACTACCTTCAGGTTTCAAAAACGCGCGCATAGAGACGACCAGAGTAGCAACGAGAAGAGACACCTACTTACTATCAGTGATATTCATAATACGCTCGAATAAATTCCTAGTGTTATCACAATTGGAAGGATTGGATTGGTTTTTATTTTAGTCACAGTGTCTCCCAAGGAATCCATTCTAAAAGGAAATTTGCATGACAACACCAGAAAAATTCTCAGTTTCTTAAGCTCTTGGAACAGAGATGCGGAGAAATACGTCAAAACTTGTTAAGACACAGAAAATCAAAACCCTTATTACGAGAGTAAGCACAATCAAATCCGCAGGAGTTTGAATAAAGAGATAAGTTCTCACCTGCAGTAAAAGGATCACGCTATTATGAGGCGAAATGGGGAGCTATAACCGAACGAGGAAGCCAGAATCTCACGCGTACCGCTCTTGTTGCAAAGTGCACCCTACTTGGTTAAGATTCGTCAGGCACACTTACAAACCCTCACAGCATTTATACCAGCATGAACAGCTACTCGTATCGCGTTGGTAAACACATCCCGCACCGTGTCCTCTGCTATGTTCCGAACCAGAAATTCCACATCAAAATCTCGCAGCACCAACGACACGAACACGCCTCTTCAGCTCCTTTCGGCAACTTGGCATCTACTAGATAGCGCCTATTGATGACAGCCCCGCACCCTGGCTGAGGAGCTCGCAGAAGCCAGGATATGCATTGACCGCTCTAGCCCACTTTTCCCCCAACTGTTCATTTCCTTGCTCCCCTCCTCCCCTGGAATTGAGAAACACGGCCTTGAAAATTTGACTTGGATGCGTCGATACACGTCATAGCGCAAAACAAGCGGATCAGTATTTGGTATGCACGCGGGTTGCTTAAAACAGTTAGATCCTGAGATCTGGTCCATAGGTACATCCAGACATCGAAAGGCCTCACAAGACTGTGTCCGCATTGCACCATCCGACAGTCTTCCTCGGATGAACTTACTTGCTGTATTCCGTGCCGACTATTTTCGCAACGAACTTGAAGGATGACATTTATGACAGGGTTTTCTTGCCAGGCGCGAACAAGTGGGGGAGAAGCAGAAAGTGGGTACTGATCGTGGACAATGTCCTGGCCTTGCTAATCAACATCATCTTGATTCTAGTCCACAGTCAGAGACAGGGAAACTTCCTCTGGCACCGCCATCGCCGTATGCCAGACCTGCACATGAGGATGTAGCCTCAAAATAGCGCTGGATGTGGGGCTACAACGAGATGCGTAACCTCTGCCAACGCTACCGATACTGAGTAGGGAGCTGACACGGTCGTCAGATGGAACCGTGTCCAAGGCCCTTACTTCCGAATCAGCATCTCTGCAACAAGTGCAGCGGTAACCTTGAAAAACCGAGCTCATGGATTGATTTTAGTGTGAGACGAAGATGCTGAATCTCATCCTCACGTAGTTGGTATCGAGCTTTGGCTGTCGCAAACGGTCAAATTGTTTACTGCATGTAAGTTCGGCGACGCTCCGACTACAAACAGGCGGTGAGTAACCGATGGATGCAACCAGTGCCGATATTCTAGATTTTGCGGCGTGATTCGCTGCGTCGCACCAGCAAAGCTCTGAGTAACCTGAAAAAATTGAGATCGTTGAATGGATCCCATAATGGAAAGTGAGAATGATCCTAGCCTTGTAAAAAATCAAATCCACTACTTGAATGAACGTGGTTCGATGAGGATGGTCTTAGTTTGGTTGAATGGGCATGTGGCATCTTCCATGAACAAAGAATTAGTTCCATTAGAGTACTGGGAAATATCAAGATATTTGCAACTCTTGTTTGTCATTTTGTGGTTTCTTTCATGTTCTTTGAATATCCAAATTATTAGCATTTTGTGAAGTTGTTTTTGTAGATGTATTTATGGTATATATTTTTTTATTTATTGTGTACCATTCTTGTTTTGTTTTTATAATACATTTAAAAAAATTAAAAAAAAATCATTATGTATTTCATGTAATTTTTTTATTTACTTTAAAAATACTACTAATTTAATTTAGAGAATATCTTTCTTAAAATTTACCATAAAACTTTTGAGAGTAAATTAAAAATTTATTATGTATATGTGGAGATACTTGGTAATAAGTACCTCCATTATATATAATGATCCAAGTTGCTCCAAACTTTGCTCTTTGTTTTTTTGTCTATGTGTGTTTGAGTAGAGCTCCAAATTTTACAAACAACAAAGCTTGTTTTTGCCCATTTTCCTATCTAGGTGTGGTTTTTGAAAGGTCAAGTATGATTGCTATGTTTTTGAGCTTTAGAAGAGTGTCAACATTCCTTTTTCTTCTTCCCGAGCTATATTGGTGGTCGAGTATTGTACTCATTGTTGATTTCTTGCATCATTTATTCTTGTTAGTGGTAGATAGTGCGATATGTGAAAGGTAGTCGACAACTCTAGGATATAGTCAATTTTTGAATGTGCTATGGTCTTCACTCCAAGAGCTATTGTATTTTTTTTTTTTTTTTTTTTTTTTTTTGATGCACAAGTATATAGAAGGAAGATGCACTATGGTCTTCACTTCTAATGATTTTTTGTGAATCTCCCATATTAGAGCAGCAATAATTGGCATTAAAGTGGATCAAGGTCTAAATTATGTAGCAACAACAACAAGGATTATATAAGGTTGTCAGTAGCTATTCTTCTATTCTTCAATAATATTGGTAGTGGTCAACAAGGTGCTATGCCTATGATTTTATTTTATTTTATTTTATTTTTTTTCTTCTTCTTCTTCTTCCTTGTATTGGTAATTGTATTGTTGGAGTAATGGTTTTGGTATCAACTTGGCCTTCTTATGGTTGTATATGGAGGTAGGCTATAATGCAAATACTACCTTCTTCTTGATCTAGTGCTAGCGACAATGTTGCAACTTCATTTGATTATTAAGTATTATAATATGAATTAGATCAAATTAATATTGTTTTGGTGGTGCTGATTTGTTTGTATTTATTTTCCTTCATACTATCTCTTGTATGGTTGTTCTTGAGTGTAGCATTTTCAAACAAGTAACAGTTGTGGTTCATATTACAAGAACTCCCTTCAAGTCTATAATTACAGAGAAGTTTTGATTCTTTTAATTCTATATATATATATATATATATATATATTTTTTTTTTTAATTTTTTATCTAAGTGTGTTTTTTGGAAGATCAAGTCATAAAGTTGTGTTATTTTTAGGTGTCAATGTCATGAATATACATAATTATTTTAATATTTATCTATATGATTAAATAAAAATAAATAAAAGTAGATTTATTTCATAATATTTTTTAGTGAAGCTTCCTAAAAGCTTCATAGATGCTACTTTGGCTTTATATATATTTATAGTTGATTAATAGGTTAGAAACTTAATTAATAAGTTAACTACAAATTAATATCAAGGACATGAATCTCAAAGAAAGAAAATCCTCAGTATACTCTTATATCACTGAAAGGAACTAGAAAGTCATTCAAAGATGATATAATATTAAATTAGAATAGTGTCACGGCCATAATCATGTAAGCTAATAATTACATATAGAAATAGGTAGAAGTAAGTAAAAGTAGATAAAAGTAAGTTAATTCTATAATATTTAATATAAAAGCTTCCTAGAAACTTCCTAGACGCTGCTTTGACTTCATAGGTGTCTTTAATTGACTTTTTGGATTAGAAACGTGGTCAACAAGTTGGCCATGTGCCACACATGTTGTTAGCTTGAAGATCAAGCTAACTATGTGGCCCACACGTAGAAAAACTTGCCTTGTAAGTCAAGGCATGTGTCCTACAAAGTCAACACATATTGGAGGTCCTATAGAACGTCGCCGCGTAGCCCTTAGTTAGATAGTATATATAGAGACAAGAGTGAAGGCTTCTTCACTCTTGTCAACTCCTTTCTTGCTTCTAGTCCAGGTTCAAGAGTCTTTAGTTTCTTGTCTTGTGGCAATAGCCATTCCAGTTTCCTTTTAATATACCTACTTATTTATATTTTGACTTATTATATCGAAATAGCCTTTTTGTGTATATTTTCCCTCATCGAGTCTTTGTCCTTGACAGATTGACAAGAGTACACTTACAATATCAGAGCTTTGTTTTTCTTGAGTGAGAGTGGATTACCCCTTTCTCTTGACAAGACATAAGCGTATTAGAAGTTTGCGGATTACCCACTTCTAAACTGATATTGTTCTTAGTATCTTCTTTGTTATTAAGTCTTTCTTTTCTTTTGTCTTGAGCAGTATCAAACAAATTTTTCTTAGTGTCATTATGGCAGAGCTTGTTGAAATGAAGAGTGCAATGGCACAAATGCAAGAGCAAATGAGGGAGTTAATGCTTGCGATGCATCAACTCAATTCACCAACACATGAAAGAACAAGAATAGCAGAAAGTGGGGATATAGAGATGATCGGAGCTGCTTCAACATCTACAACAAATCACGTTCCTTCTCCAATTGTACAACACCCTGTAAGCACTAGAGAACCAAGAATTGCCTTACCCGAGAAATTTGATGGTACGAGATCTAAGTTTCGAGGGTTCATCAATCAAGTACAATTGGCAATTGAACTTCAACCGCAAAGCGATCCAACTCCAAGATCACAAGTCAGGTTTATTGGCACTCTACTTTCTGGTTCTGCATTATCATGATTTTCGTCTTTTCTTGAACAACGAAATCCAATATTGGACAATTTGAAAGCTTTTTTGGCGGAGTTTCGATCTATGTATGGTGAACACGATGCAACTCGTGTTGTAACAAATAAGATCCGAATTCTGCGACAAGGAAATCGCTCAGTAACAGTGTATGCTTCACAATTTTGACAACTTGCAATTGACATCAAGTGGGATGATGCTGCACTCATTAGTCAATTTCTTTATGGATTGCAATACGAAGTAAAGAAATTGATGCTCAACTTACTTGATCCTCAAACTTTGAGTCAAGCAATCGATTTTGAGGTAAAATGTGATAATCGACTTTTCGAATTTCGATCTGAGAATCATTCACGGGAACCTCAACATTATTACTCAATGACAACATCAACATCTTTGCCAAACGTACATTTGGAAGTAGAAGACATGCAAATTGACGCGGTACGTTTTAAACCCCTAACTGAGCAAGAAAAGATTCGTCGTCGTCAAGAAGGATTATGTTTATATTGCGGAGAACCTAAGTACACTGCTCAACATTGTCCAAAGAAACGACGCAACTATAAAATGAGGGGTACGACGGTCAAAGAAGACAACATGTCGGAAAACGGATTCGTCCAGCTACAATAGGGACCGTGCAGCTGGAACCTTGTACAATTCCTAATGAAGGTCCTATCCTCTCCTCAGAACCCTCTCCTTGTTTTATAATAGACTTATATTTAGGACCTAAGAATTACAAAGCCTCTGCTTTATTAGATTCGGGAGCCTCAGCATGTTTTTTAGATGAACAATTTGTTAAAAGTCGTAAAATATCCTTTGTACAGAAACCTAAACAAGTACATGTAGAAGTCATAGATGGTCGTCCCTTGTCTTCTGGAGATGTCACTCATGAAACTCATCCTATAAAAGTAACAATAGACGGTCATGATAGCTACATAGCTTTTAACATAATTAAATCCCCGTCCAATCCAGTTATTTTAGGTTTATCCTGGCTAGAAAAATATAACCCTCGAATAGATTGGAATTCACGTAAACTTGACTTTTCCCAGAGCGTTATTAATAGTTCTATTAACCAAGTAAAAAATTATAAGTCTAGTATAGTAAAACCCGTACTGATAGGTGCAAAAGCATTTATACACGCAGCAAAAGAAGGATCAACTTTTACTATTTATGCTGCACCTATTTCTGAAAACGGAAAGACTTCAAGTGGCATTCCAAGTCAATATCAGGAGTATCAAGACGTTTTTGAGAAAAAGAATGCAGATATTCTTCCTGAGCATCGTCCATATGATTGTTCAATCGACCTCAAGGAAGGAACTCAACCACCATTTGGACCAATTTACAGTTTATCGGAAGATGAGATGGCTGAACTCAAGACATATATTGACGAGAATTTAGCGAAGAATTTCATACGCCATTCAAAATCTCCAGCAGGAGCTCCAATTCTATTCGTAAAGAAAAAAGATGGATCTTTACGAATGTGTGTTGATTATCGAGGACTCAATAAGATCACAATCAAGAACAGGTATCCATTACCTTTGATATCAGGACTCCTTGACCAGTTGA